AATGGATCTCAGAGTGTAATTGGTACCTGACCAGGATGTGTTTCCATCCAGGAACAGGATGAACAGCAGAGGGGGAGTTTATTATCAGAGTGATGAATTTCCACAGCGCTGTGGAGGCCGGATGGGTCAAACGAAGGGCGGCGCAGCAGTCAGAGAGATGGCAGGGTGATGATGGATGAGCTTTGGCTCTGTTTAAAGTCCTGCACACCTGAATGTTGCTCCAAGGTAATGTCAGACCGCAGGAGATGTACTTCTGGAGTCCTCCAAACAGCCACTCATCAAGTTTATTCCTTTTTTTCTTCTTCAAATTACTGCTGGAAGCCTTGAGAACATGGAGTGTCTTCTTCAGTCTGATTGATCCTCATGTTTATCATTCTGCTGGAGATGCAGCGGCTCAGCTTCTAACCAAAGTGAAGGTGAAGTGAAGGTGAATGCTCATGCATTTACATGATCACAGCTATCTGTTAGAAGTTGCCATGGAAACAGTAACAGGAAGATAATTTCTAGAATGGCAATGACTGTCTACATCACCCGTCTCCAGATAAAGCTGCTTGCTGCCTCCACTGGGAGGATGCAGTCGCTGCGCCTGTTCCTGGGGGTCATTAAGAAAGCAATGGTACAGACAACATCGGGCTTTCCTTTCCTGATTCTATCCTGAGAAGATATTTCTTTAGGAACAAACACTTTAACCCCTTAAGCCCAGAGGGTTGTAGGAGCAGTTTCCACGCTAAATTACATTCCTGATTAAATCAAGTTTGGCTCCGAAGTTGTGAGGTGGAAATGTGAAAAATGTCATTAAAGAGATTAATTCAAGTGGAACTACTGGTGCCTGATTTACAGCTGATCAGAGAAAACATCAAAATGTTTTTCAAAAAAAAAAAAACAAAAAAAAAACAGCATGAAAACCCCTCAGAAAGTCTGGACGAAGCCTCAGAATGTAAAGAACCACACCTTACCATTTACTGCAGCTACTTTGGACGAAATCGATTAAAGCTTATTTGTTCCAGAAAGATGTCAGTGGACAGGGTGGCAAGTGGAACTGTGATTTTGGCACAGATTTGCCAAAAAAGGCCAAAACTTTCCAAATAGATGTTTTTCTTAATATGGTCTAATAAAGGGACTGATTTCTAAGGTGTTGCTACTACTGCATAAAACCTTTTTTTTTTTCATAAGATTTCTGATATATTAAAATGCACCATTACACACATCATAATATAAATAAACTAAATAAATC